GTGGGCGCCCCACAATTGAAAGGCGGCTGGGTGTGGGGGGGGGGGGGGAGGGGGAGCCTGTGGAATACAAATAAAGGAGGATTTGGATCAGTCACCGAAGGTAAAGGAGGTGTTTTGTTAACTTTATACGCTTGTGCACCTCATAGTGATAATAAAAAAAAATGAACTGGGTACTCCAACTTTTGGTATGTGTTTTTGTGCGTTCCAAGTAGGTCCTGAGTTTACAATAGACTAAATTGTCAACTTTTGTACCAAACAACACATTTGAAAGAAAAAATGCACACACAGCTAGGCAGCTATAGATATAACTTAATTATGGCTGAACTGTGTGTCCAGCCTGAAATGCTGTAAAAAAAACGTAAAATGAAGCCACATGTGTACTCTTCTCCAAGCAGAACCAATTGACACCAAGCACAGCTGAGCATTATCAGCTTATTATGAGAAATTACAATTCAGGCAGCAGGAAGTGTAGAATCAGCACATTCTTTATTCATGGGGAAGCATTTTCCCAACCTTGTGTGTGTTATCTCAGAGACCGCTCAGCCAAAAGGGCTCCGAGACACAGCTTTACATTACTGGGGACATGGGACTGCAGTGTAGCCTGGAAGGTTCCTATTTATCGATCGGCAGAACATTTAAACTCAACTATCAGCTGAATGTTTTTAAAGGAAGAGACACAGTAATTAAGTGCATTTAAGGAAGACCTCCAGTCTTGTTAAAGCAGGCTTTTAACAGTTCTTCTGAAAGGAAATTATTGTTACACACAGAACAGAAGTACAGAAGGTGGAGCCTAGAGCATGGTAGCACCTAGATTTTACAGATCTGAGCTGTTTGGAATAAGGTGCATCCAGCAAGCTGGCATCTCCTGAATATCTATTGACACCTAAATTAATAGAGTGTACTCTTAATACCATTACTCAGACAGCTCTACTTTCTTTTTTTCACTATGAAAGACCAGCAAATAGTTCATCCCTGTATTCGTACGCTTTAAAAACTATGTTTCTGTGTTAGCAGAAATAAGGGTGTCAGGTAATGCAAAGGCAGAGCGAGAGGGAAATCATTTGTGGGACCTGCTCACATGGAGGGACTAAAAGTGTACATTTCTGTGCATGTCCGTCCGTTTTTTTACTACGGGTGGACGGCAAGAGGTTAAAGCCCTTTTCCACCTTTGCTGAGGTATTTAAAAAAAACAAAACATATGCCAGCAATGTACACCGATTGTACATGAAGCTGACATTTACAGTTGCTGTATATGAACACAGAAACTTTTGTTGTTGTTAGCTGTCCTCTTCATATCCTCATGGAAATGGCTGCATCTGTGCTTTGCAAGCAATGTGTGTATATTACAAGTGAGTTCTTCACCCCCCACCCCCTATTCATTAGTATTTATTGTGGCAACCTCCCTCCCGGGACCATGTATTGTGTGCAAAGGCAGAGCTGGTGTTTAGTGATTGTGTTACAATGAATAACAGGGAGGGGGAGAGCTGTTTACAGCCTGCTTTACAATCCGATCCTGGTGTCAAACTGAGTTTCCTGTGAAAATAATTTTACATTGCTAGGATTCATGTCTAATAAAAACTTCAATGTGAGTCATGAAAATGTGCACACACATATACACACATCATCACTGTACCTCTTCATTATCACAATAAATGCAAATCACTTGCAAAAGGTGGAAATTGACTTTTCTATGGATATACCAGTGCTGACACAGGGAAGAAATGATTCAGGAAATATTACTTCATACAAATACGTGTATTCGAGACACAAATTGAACTGGTCATAAATAGGAGAAGATGTTCAGGGTCAGCTGCACTTTGCCAGAACAAATCCACAAAAATAAGCTTTATTTAACTGCCAACATGGAGAGTGGGAAAGCCCAAATCTTATGATGGGTCCTATTCAAAACTTTGCTTCTCATACGTAGCTAGAGAAATATTTGACATTCTCAGAAATCTCTTACCAAGCCCAGTTTCCGCACATATGTTTTTGGTATATTTTTCCATAGAACGCTAATCAAATTTTTAGACTAAACAAATTGAATTTAAAGATTTTTTTAAGCAAATGTCTTAAGCTTTCTGTTTTTAATATGACTGCTATTGCTATGGCATAAGTAGGCAACGTATAAACAGTGGCTGTATGCTAGAACATTTCACAAGAAAAAGAGGAGAAAAAAGGCTTAAAACCTATTGGCATTAAGTAGCCACAAAAATGATCATCATCGTGCAAAACTTTGGTTTCCCGTGTGCGGAATATGTAAAGGAGAAGAATCATTTACTAGAACTGGAAGATTTAGATAACGCCACTGGTTCTTAATTCATTTTGTAATTTTATTTTGCCAAAGATCTGTCTATACAATGCTAGCCTGACACCCATTTCAGCATCTGAAGAATTTATGTTTTGCCATCTGTTACCCTCCAGCAGTGTCCAGGTGGGCTGGGTGAACGGCACTAGTGCAGAGGAGACGGATACGGCTGGAGAGGTATGGCGTCCTGTTACCAGGGTAACCAGCAGCTCTTCTCGCTCATCTTCTCCAACAGCCATGACAGCAGCGGCATTCTCCCTGCACGCTTCAACTAAATGTGCGTGCTATGCAGTTACTGGCTACAGCGTATTATGTGACTTCCATTTTTTGCTGTTTGATCCCAGGTTACGTGCATCTGTTTACATCACAGTTTGAACATGAAATGGAGGGTTTGTGATGTCAGCATGACGCCAGGGGGTGGTCTGTATTACACTTTACAATAACTATGTCTATATAAATGACAAGTTATCTCTACACTGTCATCTCTGAGCCTGGTGAAGGGGACCCTGCGTGCCCGCGAAAGCGCTTGCAAACGAGAGACAGCATTCGTCAATATATTAACACTTATTTGCCATAGTCATCGATCTGGTGTGCTGGTGACATTCTTCAACTAAACCAATTTCCATTAATTAATCATTAAAGGTGAATTATGGGGTTAAGGCTTTCCCCCATAGTTCTCCTTAGGGTAACGGGAGGACACAAACTAGCATCCTCCCGTCACCCTAAGCTCAGTATACCGCGAGCTACAGCTTAACAATTAATGTCTGGATCCGCCCAGCTGCGTGACTGACAGCTGGCTCTGCCTACCTAGAGCCAGCTGTACGGCCCCCTCCACCGTCCGTTCCGCCAGTCATCGGATTGCCAGACAGAGAAGTGTGATTCGTCACTCCAGAGAACATGTCTCCATTTCTCTAGTGGCGTGTTTTACACCACTGCACCCGACGCTTTGCATTGCACTGGTGATGTAAGGCTTGGATGCAGACGCTCGGCTCCATATACACATACACTTGTAACCTTGAGATTGTCCATGCTTTTCCACAAAAACTTGGAATACAATTTCTTGCCATTTGGAGAACGTGCCAATAATTTTGTCCATTCCATCTGTCGAGTTTTGCGTGGAATGTGCCAGATTTGGTTTTTTTTTTTTCACTTTTTTGTGTCATATCAATATAAACAAAAGAAATAAACATGAGAATGCCTAAACATTTGTAATTGCAGCAATTTTGCGTGCAAAGTGGTGCATTATCTGACAGAAATGCAGGGGTGCCAATATTTTTTATCCATGACTGTATACATAAAACCTTCTCACATGAAGACAAACTCTGGAGGAGTATAGGGTAGGGCTCCCACTAAGTATCTCAAAGACTTTATGTAGTTTAAAAAATGTGTCAGCCCCAAATACTTGCTAAATAATGTACGAGTATTGGAGGAAGTGACGATTCGTTCAAAGTGTCAGTAAATCCAAAAGAGGTATTTCAGTTTTAGCTGGCCACACGTTACAATGTAATTGTACAAGTCCCTTTAGCTCTAACGATAAACTGTATTTCATTGTTTAGAGAAATCTACAGGAGATTGTTCACAGATTGCAAGAGTAAATTGTAAAGCTCACCACAAGTTACAATCTGATTGTACAAACTCCTTTAGATCTACCAAGTAGTATGTAGCACAAGGTCCTGGCTAATGGGATACATTTTGATTGGATGGATAAGATATGTCCTCATTTTACATCTTTGGTGGATCAAAACGCGTTTCTCAATCTATTTTAAGTCACAATGACATCTCTTCATCCCTTCCTACCAACATACACTCAATACACTAAAACAAAAAACAAAAAGTTTCGGCCAAAGAAACACGTTCCTTCCTACGGAGATTGTGTTACCTTTATCCTTTAGAAAATCTAATCATGGGGTGCTCAATCATTTGCACACAATCAAAATCCTGCTGTAAAAAGAAACATAAAACTCACGGCCCAGGTTTTGGACAGCCGGAAGATGGGTGCACTCTGCAGCGCAGACACCACAGCCGTCAAGGAATGAAGGTTGTTCAGGTCTAGAAGTTTCTGCAAAGAGAGTAAATATCTTGCTAGTTTACTGTTATTAGTAAAAATGCAGCATTTTCTTATTACCCTATTAAACATTGTCACAATATTTAGGACTGGTAAAGCAAGAAAATGTTCTGTGTAACAGAGGTGAACTAAGCAGAGGGGTTTTGCCTTGGGCACCAAATGTTGTATGCCTACATGCTCCAGTGACGGAAATCCAGCACTGCTCAAAATACAATGCATAAGGCACACAGACATGGTCAAGAGGCTCAGTTATTGTCTGTTATTACAACGGGGATGATGTGTGAACTAAGCAGCTATGAATTGTCCAAGGCTAAAGTGGTGGTTGTATCATCTCAGAAACCACTGACCTCCTGGGATTTTCATCCACTGGAGTTTTTATACAGAGTGGTACAAAAACACATGGAAAAATACCTTATCACGTCACACCTGCAATCCTTTCGCTGGTGACAACTTGCCACAACAGGTTTGTTACGTGGGACATGGCAGGGCAGCCATTTCCACAGGCTGCTTTTTGGCTGACCAGATGGGCTAGGTGTCGCTCTCTCGCTGGTGAGTGACATTCTGCAGCACTTCCGCAAGGGAGGAAGTGATTTCTCACTCATCACTTTGGGCCTTATTAATGACTAGGGAATGGGCAGACAGGACACAGCTTTTTCAACAACAGCCATTTGGGCAGTGCTGTGTAGAAGACCATCTCTGGTCATCCAATCAAGAACTCAGAGAAGGACAAACTTAAGCAGCAGAATATCATGAAGACTTCCCTCCTGTCTGCTAAGAACAGGAATTTGAGGGTATAGCACCAGATCACCAAAGCTGAATGCATATAGAGTGGAAAAAAGGATGCTTGGTCTGATGTATCCCAGTTTCTGCTCTGACATGCAAATGGATGGTCAGATGTTGGTGCATAAAGCAAGGGTCAATCCTAACTTGTATCAATTATTCAGATTAGTGGTTATGTAATTTTAAGGGAATGTTTAAAGGAGAACTATGAGGTGAGTGCTTTTCACTCACCTCATAGTTCTAGCTGACCTGTGACAATGAGACTGTCACAGGTCGGCTCAGTAGATCGGGAGGTGAGCGAACACATACTGGCGTTCGCTCACCTCTCGATCCTGCCATGGCTCTCTGCCGTGACAGGGGAGGGGCTGGATTCCCCCCACCCCGCTCCGATCCGCCAGCGCTGACTGGCGGAACGGACGGGGGAGGGGGCGGGTACAGCTGGCTCTAGGTAGGCAGAGCCAGCTGTCCGTCACGCAGCTGGGCAGATCCCGGCACAATTGTCGGGATCCGCTTCAGCGTCTCAGTATACCGCGAGCAGCAGCTCGCGCTATACTGCGGCGTCTCAGTATACCGCATGCTACAGCTCGTGGTATACTGAGCCTAGGGTGGCGGGACGACGCTAGTTTGTGTCCTCCCGTTACCCTAAGGATAACTATGGGGAAAAGCCCTAACCCCATAGTTCTCCATTAATTGCTTACACATTGGAAATTTCAAAGTAAAACTCCACTAACGTTTTTAGTTTTGGTTAGAGTGGGGAAGAGTTAACATTTCTGCTGGGTTTTATACTGTCTTTGACCCCTCTGAAGACATTTTTCCTCACTTCCTATCTGTGTGACATCAGGACAAAAATAGGGGAAAGTCTATCACCAGGACAGGAAGGCCAGAAAAAGATAAAAAGATTGTTAGAGGTTCTAAACCTTCCCTGCTTTTTATGTGTCCAGTTTGAAGATATTTCCCATCACTTACTGTCCTGGAAGAAAGTGAAGGAAAATCTTAGGATTTGAATATGAAACAGAGACACTGATTGGTTGGCATGCACAGCTGCTCTAGATTTTGTCTTCTCCAGTTTTGATAAATTCCCCTCTGTATGTTTTACACTAGTCCCTGCATGGTAAAATGGTTCTTACTCAAGTAGGACCAACTCAGTCTTCCTGCCTTTAGATGGTGGTCCATGTCTGCTCCCCAATAATAACCAAAAATCTATTTAAAGGAGAACTATGGGGTCAGTGTTTTTCCCCATAGTTCTCCTTAGGGTAACGGGAGGACACAAACTAGCGTCCTCCCGTTACCCTAAGCTCAGTATACCGCGAGATACAGCTCGCGGTATACTGAGACGCCGCAGCGGATCCCGACATCGATGTCGAGATCCGCCCAGCTGCGTGAGTGACAGCTGGCTCTGCCTATCTAGAGGCAGAGCCAGCTGTACCCGCCCCCTCCCCCGTCCGTTCCGCCAGTCAGCGCTGGCGGATCGGAGCAGGGAGGTGGCAATCCAGCCCCTCCTCTGTCACGGCAGAGAGCCGTGACAGGATCGAGAGGTGAGAGAACGCCGGTATCTGTTCGCTCACCTCCCGATCTACTGAGCCGACCTGTGACAGTCTCATTGCCACAGGTCGGCTAGAACTATGAGGTGAGTGGAAATCACTCATCTCATAGTTCTCCTTTAATTTCCTAAAATGATGTAATGTGGAACTGCTGGTGCGGGACAGAAAGGCCTAGATGCTCTAACTTTCTGGATCCATTTGCAAGTAGACCAAAGAATGGAAAGTAACACAACATTTTCTTCAAGTTGATCTTCTCACAAGCCAAGTTTATAACATTGAACTCTAAAATTTACAACAAGCAGTAATTCTACGTTGGAACAATTGACTCCTTATGGCTTCCGTGTATTTACTTGCGTCAGGGTAAAATTCTATAAATCAGCGTTGGCTCTTCATGTAAAATAGAAGCACGGGATTAACGGAAATTCTGATTAAACTGTAAAGGATTATTTATGAGCAGCAGCATGTTTATTTTCTTTTTTTTGGCAAACACCGATGATGGAGCAACACAGGCATTTTGTTTCCAGTAATAGAGGATTATGGGAAGCTGGGCAAAAATAGCACCCATCATGGTTCAGCAAGTTAATGTTACTGCAGGGCAGTCAACGTTGGGACTACACGTTCTCTTGAAAACTTGTAGTAGATTTTATCTAACTCTCAATGGTGGCCAAAAACTGGAAGACATGTGTAATGTAAGTCCTAAAAGGCACAATACTTATCTATTTGAAACAAATGTACATGTACAAAAAAAAAAAGAGAAGCTGACAGCTTTTCACCTGCAGGTAACGGCCCACATTGCTCGCACTCTCACCTTTGCTATCTTGATGAAATGGCTCAGTATTTCTGCTCGTATCTTCAGAGTCTGTGTGGTTAAGATTTCTCGCACAACCCAAAAACTGACCTGAAAGAAAGGACATAAAGAGACGAGATGTTAAAATTGGTAACCTTACAGCATATATATCTTCCCTTACTGAGAAGTAAGTTCTTACAATTATTCCTTGTTCACAAGGACTTCAGCTTGTATAGAAGCAGTGTTTACAGGAAACCTTTGCAAAGCATTCGGAAAGCTTTCAGCAGCTTTGTTGCAGCTGTTAAAGGTAACTTCCATTCTAGTATGGGGATGTTAAACATAGATCTTATTGGGCATGCTGCCTGTCAATCTAATCAAGCAGCTGGAAGGCTTCAGCAGGCTTTTGAAAAACGTAAAGTGGACCTGAATTCAAAAAGTTAAATTTGCTATGGTATAGGGAAAATCTAGAAATGTCAACTTTTCTTAAACAGTGCAGTGAAAACGCAACCTTTTTCCAGGACATTCTAATAAAAAATAACAGAGAATGTCCTATGACTAGGTTTTCCTGCGTCTACAGCTTCATAGCTTTAGATCTGCAGTGTCAGATTTACGGCACTCTGACTGCTAGCCTCAGAAGATTTAAAGTGAAATTTGATGAAATCAGTACTGTACTGCTCACGGTTCTCTGTGCTGGAGGGGAAGATATATCTAAAGACCTGCAGTGCATGGATCTCCCTGCTTCTACGTCATCCATTCTGTGGATCTGTGATTTCTGAAACTCTCCTGCTTCTTCTTGTTGGTTCATCCACCACTATTAGGCATTAAGAGGGCAGTCTGACATGAAGCCCTGCCTCAACCACCTCCACACAGACACACAATGCAGAACAAGGCATGGTGTATAAGTAATGGGGAAAAGATCAGCTGCAGACAGGCAATATTGTCTTCACTTTTTTGTCATAAGCACAGCTTTCACAGTTCAGATGCTCTTTAAAAGTACTATGGAAGCCAGGTAGCAGCTTGTAATAACTGACAGTCAGAACTCCCATTAAAATATGTGTCTAACCTCCCCAAACTGGAGTTAATTGTTGCTTTAAAAGGCTTTTATCAAAACAAACTGAAGCCTGTGTATACAAGACCCCTAGGTAAAGAATCTGTTTTTACAAATAAGAAGAGACATCATAGAGACACTAGACCAGCATCATTGATGTCACTGGTCTCTAGTGATTGGATAAGTTGTGTTATCGTGAATATGACATGTCTTTGTGATGTTATCAGTTTCAAGTCAATTATACATTCTCATAAATATGAAGTCCCAGTGATGTCGCTGGTCTTTAGCATATGCAAATACCAAGTCTGTCTACAAAATGCATGCTGCTTGGCATTGAAATAAAATGTGATTATACCAAAATAAACTATTGACTTTGATTAGAACAGAAAAAAATATTGCAATTACCAGTAAACAGGACCTGTGGTCAAATTAATCCTCTTAACCCTGGAAAAAGAATTAACTACCAAACCAAACACTAATCTTTCAACACATATTCAGTTTTGGGATAATTAACAAAAAACAAAATTAAGTTATTTGGTGTAACCAAGGCAATCTGGCATCTTGAGTACAAGAAACGTTGTATTTTTGGGTACAAAACAAAATACAGTAAAATGTATTAATATTTCGCCTTGTTTTTCCTGTCTGTCCTTTACAAACACCAGCCGCCTTGTTTCCCATTAATAGCGAAGTTCATTTTTTCCAGCCTGTGTAAAAATGAGCTCAGATAGGCGGTAGTCAGCCAAGCGTGGCCTGAAGTGTGCAGTCTCTGCTGCTTACGCAGATCTCTGTGGCTGGAGGGGCCTGCTCTGGGGCTCTATTATATTATATAACCGTGATCTTTTTATGACCCTTGTAGCAAAGAGGCAATTACTTTCCATGTTGTCATTTCCAGGATTTCTTTTGGCACAATGGTGAAATAGTTTTATTTGCCCAAAGGAGAGGGAGGAGAATGTGTAGCCCCCCCAAATGCTGGACTTGAGGAAAGCAATAGCAATTGCTTGAGAAAGTCAAACCCAACCATTCAACTCTTCCACATGAAAAAGATTGCCGGAGGTCTCTGCTGTTATAGGCATAACAAAATGTCAGACACAACATTAACTCCAGCCAATTTTGTTTTCTACTTTTGGATCAAGTGATGAAAGGTTAGGCTCTCTGTTGAACTTTTATTCCTGTCTGTGTTCCTGCTTAGGAAATCCCCC